AGCTGCTGCGATACGCTACTATTCCATACAAAACTACAACTGCTTTCAGTTATTACTTCGAAATCCATGCCACCGGGTGCTTTTTAAGAAAGACATTACTGCATTCTTTCTTAAAAAACGCTTTAGAACAAGTAAATTCGTTAAAAAACCAATTGCGTATGGGGCTTTTATTTAATTAGAAGCTAGCAGCCACAGTCACAAGCGACGTCTCATTGAGCGTTTGCCAGCTTCAAAATTTCATGCCACAAATTCGAATGAAAATTTTGCGGAAAAACAAAAGCAAATATTATGTAGTAAACTAATGCGAAAAAACCTTCAAAAACAGACAATATATTCCCGATGCAATGAACCTAGTTTTTGAGTTTTCCGCGAGGAATTCTCTTCTGTTCAAAAAAAAACAGCGTGTACCAGTGATGCACACATGACCATCTGTAATTATCCGCCCGTACCGTTTTGGTTGACCAAAAATTACAAAAAATTTCCAGATTTCGTGCGCGACACTAGTATAAATTTAATCGTGAGGCCCCTAGACATCGGTTTGAGTCATCCTTGTTTCTTCACTATCAGCTGCCCTAACAACTGATCTTCGCTTCCCAAGACTGATGCTAGGAGAATACGAGGCATTCTTTACTTAGCTAATCAGCTGATAAACATAAGTGGTACTGAAGCGAAAAACCGTCAACTAAAAAGCCAAGAAAGGCTAAACAACATCCTTACAAATGTATGGGATAAATGCTACTCCCAAAAAAAAAAAAGAGCCATATTTTATATGCACAGGCACCCAGTGTGTTGTCACGCACTCGCCGTTTATGAATCCTTTTTGCTATCTTTCGTAGGTCGCGCCGGTACCTTGCTACGATCATGAATATTTTGCACTTCATCCTCGAAACTTTCACCAAATTCGTTGATACGCGACTTGTCCACTGGGTAGAGATATCTTTGGTAGAGATAGATAACAAAAACGACATCATCTCGAAAGCAGGCAACACGATGCGATGTGGGCATCGTTATTATGAATGCGAACATGTCGTCAATGAACGTATTGAAAGCCTGTAAATTATACATTTCTTTCATCTCCAAAAAATCTCACCGATCTCTAATCACTTGGGTTACTTCGGTCAACTGTTCTATTACGATAACGCGCTTTCACACCTCCACACAGCTGGTTTGCTGGGAGCACTTGCTGACCAACCTCTGCTGAAATTCATAGCCTGGCCCTAAAAGACTAGTAGCAAAAAATCTTAAAAGTTCTGCTAGAAAGTCCCCTTACTGAAGACAGAGCACTTTTCAAATGTACGCTAAGCCTTATAATCGTAGCAGTTCAAATCAACATAGCCTTCAATAGGGTGATGCTTAAAACCAATTAAAGATGACACAAATTTGTTGGCCTTTAAAAAACATTCCTCAAAAGGCAACACATCAACGATGTGATTTAAGAGAGACGCAATTATGGGATGTCAAAAACATGAATGGAACTGCGAAAAGTGCAATATTCCATGAAAGGGCGATAAGCTAAAAGCTGCTAATCTTCCACTGATTTTAAAAGTGCACTTCAATGCAAAGCTTCCCAAAGTTACGATAAGCAGCCATTCATACCGGCCCTGAGCTGACAAATCTGTTCATTTACCAGCCCAGAATTTTTCACGTCCTGCTTTTCAATTAATTCCTCGTCCCAACGCAAAAGAATAACATCTCCTCCCACCTCACTTAAGAGCAACGATGAGCTCAGGAACACACTTCGCTTCAGAGAATCATCCAGAGCTGCGGCTCCTTAAGAGAACCGCTCTTTGCTTGTTATGTCTGTTGAATGGCTAAACTCAGCGCTCTTCTATTTAATTCAGCTAGCCACAACACAAATTAGTGCACCCCAGATGAATTCGACCTTTTTCAGCAAAACTTGCTTGCTCGTTAGTTTAAATTCTAACGCCATCCTAATAATGTTGGCACTTGCAACTGCAAAAAACGGAAATCGCCTCGACTCATTTTATAGGTCGCTCGTATTTTTAAAAGCATAAGTTTTGTCAAAGGAATTGTAGAAACAAAAACATTTCCAGATTTGCTAATCAAATTCACAATCAACTCAAAAAAACGATCAGCAAGCCACGAAATTATAGATATTTCAGTGAGCGCTGTAAAAGAGGATAGAAAGTTTTTTCATTCGCTCTTGCGCAACATGAAAACACAAATATACTCGAAGCAATGAAAAAAGAACTGCTAGGTTACCACACCATAAAAAAACGGCTAGGCAAGAAACTGTCCCGTAATAACGTCTGGATTTAGAATGCCCTAAAAAATACGCCCGTTTAAAATGTCTAACGATATTCTCCTAAAACTGTTACCTTTAAAGCAAGTACAGAGAAGAAATACTAGGTTTAAAAAATAAAAAATATAAAATTTAGATACTGATAGCTCAGGAATGTTAGTAGGCTGACCAAGAAGTGACGCAGCACCAGTCAAAGCAGCTGGAAAAGTTACCAGTTGCACAGCTGAAGAATGGACTATGAATTATAACTGATTAAATTATCAAAACAAATTAAATTATCAAATTAACAAATTAAATTATCAAATTATCAGCTAAATTATTCAATTACCAAATTTAAACATCGACTCTTTTCAAAATCATCTGCACGGCTGTTACTTAACTACATAATAAGCAAAAAGCGCATCTACTTAAAAAAAAATTACAGTGCGCATGGAATCCGTGCATGCGTTCTTTGCACAAAGCAATAAACTGCATCCAGTTCGACGATTTTCCATATCGCCTTGTTGTATAGCAAAACGATTTACACTCTTTCCAATTATTGATTGTCTTTCTCGCCAGCTATCAAAAAGCGAGAGCTTTCGAAATTTCGAGGCCTGCGGATCTGATGGGTTCGATGTCAAAGCGAAATGCAGTGCTTATGCTATCATTTCCGGCAGCCTTTCCACCTTCATTTAGAAAGCTGCGCGCCTCCATGTGCCCGTGTCTAAGATGCAAGAGATAAGCGCTGGTCTTACGTATAAATACCCGCACACTATTTAGAAACAAGCTCACAAAACTTCGGCTCTCCAACTCCTTTGACTGTAAAAATTTCTACCTGTCCGTACATGGACGTTCAAAACGTGCGCCCAGGGACTCATCCGCAGTGGCGGGATAAAATCCCAAAACTTCTGTTCCACGGTTTCTGTAGATTTGAAAATTAGGATAAGCTGATACACACATACGTACAGAAACCTCTCTACAACACGGA